GGGGCACGCGCATGTGCGTCGGACACTGCTCTGCCCCCCGGCGGCTTCCAGCCTGGCCCGCGGGCGGCACGTAAAGGCGAACAGGAGCAGCGCGCCCACCGGGCTCCTGGTTTCCGTTCAGGGGACAGCGCGAGAGCAAGGGAGCCGAGGGAGGGCACGGCCACGGGCCGGCACGCGAGGCTTTCTCGAGGGGCGACGGGGCGGAGCCTTGACAGAGGAGCGGGAGTTTGCCCAGTTGAGGGGAGGCCAGCCGGGCAGAGGCCCAGCGACAAACCCCACGGCCGGGGGCTGTCGTGGCTGGGCGGGGCAAGGAAGGAGGCAGGTCGTCAGGGTTTGGGCAGACCCGAGACATCCGAGCAGGGCCCGAGGACGAGACGTAGAGGGGCCGCGTCAGGGAGGACAGAGTGACAACGCTCGTCCAGGCTGCAGCCATGGGCCGAGCTTGCTTCCACCCGCTGTCCCAGGCTCTCCCCGTGCCCCCACTTGTGGGCCTGGGCTCTGGACCTGCCGGCACCCGCGGGACAGGCTGGGAGGGAGGGACAGGGGGAGGAAGGAGGAAAGGACGGCCCGTTGCTTGAAAGAAGTGACAGGTGAGGCCCAACGCTGAGTAGGGAAAGGAGGCCCGGGGTGACTCGGGACCAGCTGCCGGTGGGACAGCAAGTCTGTAACTGATGCTTTTTTGACACCCAAGGCTCAGTGCCAGGACTTTCTATTCAGCTGTCTGCGTTTCCACTGGGAAATTGTAAGACATTCCAAACACACGATTTTCCCTCCGAGATCAAGCAAAGTCCAGCTCTGACAAACGGAGTTCGGCCTTCCCTTCCAGCTCTTTTATTTCATTTTCCAGTAATCTGTTTGGAGGAGCAAACAAAACGGGGACAGACGATTGTTGTCTTAGCCTGGAGAAAACAGACTGGCAAAGGCAGGGGAGGCTGGCAAGTGAAGGGCCTGGGCCCCGCCAGCCCCGTTCTGGGAGCCCAGCACGCAGCCCGGCCTTGAACTACCCGGCACTTTGTAACAGGCGGGGAGCCTGTTTCCCACCCTGCCCGAAGGACGTTTTTCTGGAAACACTCCAGACAGAGCTCCGGTTAGACTAGGAACAGACAAGAAGTAGGTTCACGTTTCCCCGGCTTCAGGCTCCACATCCGGAGCCCCGCCCGAGCGCAGGGGGAGACCCGGGAGCCGGCGACCGGTCGGGAAGGAGTTGCGAGCATCACACCGGCTGTTCCACGCCTGAGTCAGAAAGCCCCCCAACCCAGCTGCCAGTGGGGGTGGGGGTGCAAATCCTTTTCTATCTTTTCTGCCGTCACCCGCCCGACAGCTCCTCCTCCTCTGGTTCAGCGTGTAGGGGATCCTTGCTCCCCTCGAAGGCGGAGGGAGGCTCCACTCACTTCTCAGCCCTTTGGCCTCTGGCTGTCTCTATCCAACCTCAGAGACACTCGAGCCTGCAGTCAGTAATCCTCCAATCGCAGAGCAAAGGACTAAACTGACAGTAAGCAAACGTAACGGCCAGCTCAGGAGACACGGCTTTACTCACACGGCCCACCAGGACATCACCCAGCACCCACCCCGTGCTGCCCATGTTGTTTCCGTGGAGCAGAGGAGGAGGAGTACAAGGAGGTTCCCATCGTGGGACTTGGGGACAGGACACAGCAGACGTCAGAGCCTCCTCACCCTCCTCCTCCTTTACGCAGTCACCTAATAATTTATCTGCAACAATTTATGAAATTGGAATTATTATCCAAAACTTACAGATGAGAGAATTGAGACAGAGAAATTACATTGACCAAAGTGGGCCATCGAGGAAGTGGTGACACAGGGTCTATTTCCAAAAGCTGCCATGCTTTTCCCATGGCCACGGGAACAAGCAATAGTGAATGTATTTACTAAAGGTTGTTGAGCGATGCAAGCAATGCGGGCTTGTCGGAGCTGCTCCAGAACCGCCCCCCCTACTTTTGGCCTGCACCCTGAAGGGAGCCCGAAGGCACAGGGACCTCAGGACCCAGCCCCGCCGTATTCTAGGCACCGTGCGGCGCGTCCTTGGGGGGTGGCAGAGAAGGACCACGCCCCCTGCCCTCAGCCAGCTGCCCTCCAGGCTGTGTGTGGGGGGACGCGTCCTCCCACGCCCCGCAGAAGGGAAGGACTGTGACAGCCAAAGACAAGGAGAGCGGGTCCTCATCTTGGTAGACATAAAAGAGGAGAGGCGTCCTCTTCTAAAACTACCCCCCCACCAACCAAAAAAGCAAGGCATGTATTTTCATTTGAGGTCCATCTGGGTGACTTGCACAGGTAACTTCTAGTCGCCTGTTTCTGAACACAGAGGTCCAGCTCGGAGGTCCCGATCGCGTGTAAATATGGTGCGTGGTGCCTCACTGAGACTCTGAAGGTGTGCCGCTCCTGCCCCAGGGCCTCTCCCATCAAAGCGGCCTCTCGTCCTGCTGGTGCTGACTTGTTAACAGAGACCGTGCTTTTATTTGATTATTTATCCAATCAGCTTCCACCTTCAGTCTAAGCTCACTAAGTCGCTGTTAATAGAGTGGCGCTGAAAGTGTGCCTGATGGCAGGGCTGCGCCCAGGTGGGCCGGAGAGAGCGCCCAGGCGTGAACGGTCAGAAGCAGAGCCGAGCCCCGGGGAGCCCATGTTGCCCTCGAGAGCACATGTGGACGGTCTGCCAGCCAGGCAGACAGGGCACGCATCTGAAAGGCGGTTTTGTAGTGTAAGGGCTGAACTCTGTGATTAAATGCCCTCAGTTAACAGGGAAGCAGACATGACAAGCAGTCTCATCACTCCCACAACCGGGAGAATAATGCTCGTTCTTTAAGTGCGCTGCGTCGGGGGGCTTTTGTGACAGGCTTTGACGTGAACTTCCACATCACACTCAGGATGTGGGCTGCTCGCTGTGCCCCGCCTGGCTCCAAACGGCTCGCGCTTACTGTCTGCTCTCACTTAGCGGCCTTCTAAAGTGGCTGCGACCAGCCTCGCAGTATCTCTCCCGGGACTTGCACAGCAGGTAACGAAGTCGTCTTGTCCTTACCTGATGCAGATAAATCCCCTTCTGGAAGGCCGTCCTGCCCACAAACAGGAAACTCCACTTTTTGTTGGCCTCAGAACCCCTAGCTCCCCAGTGCCACGCGCGAAGCGGGCCCGCGCACCGCAGAGCTGTGCAGAGAGCTGTGCAGTTAGCTGAGGCCAGCACTGCCCCTCCTTGGAAACGCCGCAGCTCAGACTTGGCGCTGTCATGGGCTAAATTATTTATCCAGTCTGATAAGAGAGAATGCAGCTAAGAGCTTCCTGCGTTTACAGCCTCCACCCCTGGATGCATGCTGAGACAGGAAGCAGGCCAGGCTCCATCCACAAAGAGGAAGAAAAGGCTTCCTGCAGCATCCCCTTCCATCGCCTCTTACGCCTGGCCGGGTCCCAACCACGGTGAAAATGAGCTGTTCCCGTCCACCTTCTCGGAGCCGTCGAGAGCCGTGTGTCAGGCACTGTGCAATGTAAGACGTGTAAAAAGTGGACTTGGCCTCAGTGAGCTTACAAGACCCCCATCTGGACAGAGAAAGCCTAGGGAAGTTGAATTTCTCGTTCACTCCCTCCTGACGCGCACGTGTCAGGCACTGCGCGAGGCCCGGGGAGGCAGTACCGAGACTGAAAACCCTGGGATGGTGGAAGTACCGGCCGGCAGTGATGGCAGCGGGTTAAACCACGTGAAAGGAGGTGACGTGCCACGAGGCACTGTGTGATTCACCTCTAAGTGGCACGCTGGGTAAACGCGATGAGGTCAGAGCAGTCTCGGTTCTGGCGCGGACACCCCGGTAAACAAGAGCCAGGGCCCCATCCAGCGCCCCAGTGCAGGGCCGAGCCTGAGGCCAGCACGCTCCTGCCTCTCTGCTTGGCCATCAGATCGGGTCTGCTTGGAATGAGGTCACCGATGACAGTACTGTGTCCCCTTCCAGGGAGTTGAGCTCAGTCCCAGGACAGGAAAGAGAGCCCTGATGCTTAAGACCTTTCATTGTGGGACAAAAAAGCTCACCTCCAGACTGGCTTCTTCCTGCAGTGAATTGGAAGTTCTCACGCAGTCACAAAACCCATGGAGGGCTGTACTTGAAGTCATCATCCTGGAAATGCTGTTTCTGTTACTCGTTACGGTCTCTGGCCTTCTGAGTGTGATCTGTATCTCTTTTAAGGGCCCTGTCACCACGTTCTCTTTCTCTTTACCAGCTGCATGCAGA